CCTTTCTGTTCAGGAGTGGTATTTCATTCATAGGCGTAGCATGGCCGTACCACGTTTTATTCAACCATTCACCCACTAAAGGACATGTGGGTTGTTTCTGGCTTTGGAGTACTATAAATGAAGCTGCTATGAATATTTATGTATACAGGCCTTTGTGTGAATGTAAGTTTTTATTTCTCTAGGATAAATGCCCAGGAGTGCAACTGCTAGGTTGTATGTTAATTGTATGTTTAACTTTTTGAGAAACTGTCAAAGTAATTTCAAGAATGGCTACACCATTTTACACTCCCACCAGTAACATATAAAAAGTAATATTAAGTTTGAACATCAAAATTTCTAACACATTTACTACAAGTCTAAAACACTGAGATTAAATCTCTAAAATGTAATACCCTAAACTTAATCTTTTACAAAAAAACATTCTTTTAGACTTCTTTCCTGCTTCCCAAATACACTTTTTTTCTGATTATTCTAACAAATAATTCAGAAGTACATATAATCTGAATGTTGAGAATTATTGCCATATCATACAGTGAATTGCAATAAGAAGTGAAAAAAGTAGCACTGAAGCCTACAATAAAAACAATAAGTTTCTGTTTCTATGTCTTCCAGACAGTCTATGAAGACTTAAGATTTTGCGGTATTTTCTAACATTTAGTACTGCAAAATATAATACAGAACATAATCAATGATAACATTTGTTTAGCTGTTACTTGGCAAAACAATTTAAAAAGTGATTGAGTGGAAATAAAGCTAATATTATTTTAGCTATATCTATAACTTCATGGTTTTTTATTTTAAATATAGTTGGCAATTAGATACATACTACAGTCTCTTGAGAGTTCTTACATCTAGAGCAGACATACCTACTCACATGCTAACAGGGGCTAAACAGCCTGTCCACAAAGAGAAAATCAAATGCTCGGAGAGAAACTCTCTTTTTGAGAGGTCCCAAAAAGAGACAGTCTGCCTTTGTTTCTAATGGCTCTCCAGTTCTTATTGTCAGTCCCCTGCAAGACCAACTTTCACATATTCTTCCTGATATTGAGCTTCGTGAGATACAGGTACCCTTCCAATATAAATGCATTAGCTTAAAAAGTACATAGAACATTTTCCAATCTCAAACTAGTTACTTTGCATTTAATTATTTGACTTTCAGTTAGTTTATCTTCTCACTTAATGCTTATTGATAAACAAGTGCATTAGTAGGCATATATGCTTAATATTCATCCCAAATATTTGCCTCTACTTTACTTTTCAAATCCTAGGATACTGGCTCCCACCCATTGGGCCAGAGACCATGGCAATACATGAGTTACAACAAAGAATCCTCAAAATCCATGTACTTACCTAAAGACTAAATGGGTAACATAGTTCACAAATACAAGTTTTTCCAATTTGACAAAGATGCTAAGGTTAATAAATTTCTTAATAAGTTTACTGAAAAACATTAGTAAACATAGTTCACTGTCATTAGTATCTACTGACGCATATTAAAAATCTAGCTTCTAGTATGAGTAGGCACCTCGTGCCTCTCTCGGCTCTCTGGAGGGCCTTTTTTCAAAGAGTTGTCCAAATGTCCATCCAGAACAAGGATAGACCTCTGTCCATCCAGAGGCCTGCTTGAGTTTGTGTGCAAAGATTTACAAGGTTGGGGGCGATGGAACAGGAGTAACTGGGAAAATGCATGAAGTTATTTCAGAAAGCAACTTCTGAAAGCATGATGCTTAAATATTCAGGGCCAAGGGAAGAAAACCAAACAGCATGCCCTCTTTGCATCTTTACAAAGACAAGTGGGAACAGCCACAGGAATTCTGGTCAAAAGAACCAAAGGTACCTTGGAGAACAAACACATTCTGGTTACACCACCTAGCTAAGTGATTTGTCGGGATTCTATCATCTTTCTAAATTAATTTTGTACCCTTACTAAAATTTCCCTATTTTCTACATTTCATCACTAATAGTGTAGTTTTTAAAAGGTGCTCTACCCAATTACTGACTTCTTGTATGATGAATGCTAGACAATTAAAGTAAAAAATAACCTATATTAAGAGAAAGAAAACTTCTAGAACAAAAACTGCAAAAGCCAGTTCACCCAGCACAATTCCTGGCGAACAGCAGGCTCGGGCTCTCTGGTGAATATATGAATTCGCTTATTCTCACTCTGAAAAGTAACTTCAGCAAGCCTATGAAATAGCCTACCAGTCAAAAATACTCTCCAGTTCTGTTCGGTTACCAATCCATTCTCACAACCATCAAGATCAATTTTCAAGAAAGCTTCACTCACTCGCACAAAGAGGCAGCCTTTAATTCCCATTAGGCTCACTGCCTGATATATGGAGATGAGCATTTGTATATTTGCATAAATTCAGGAGTCATCCTTCTTCACTGGCTAAAAGGTAAATTTTAAAACTCTGCCTCCCTTCCAATTAAATTTTATTTTCCAAATCAAAAATATTTTTAAAGTTTATTTTCCAAATCAAAATCTTACATCTTATCAAGGATGCCTTTAAGAAAAATCATATAGTTTCAAAATTAAAACTTTTTTTTTCTTTTCTAGACATCTGGGACTTTCACTTATGTATTATTACTTCACATTAGTTCTCAAATTACAAAAAAAAAAGTTGGCCTATTTCCTTTAAGGAATTTAATTTTAGGGTCTGTCAACATCTTAAATGCATTACTGTTATTTTTAAAATATACACTTGCATACTGGAATAAAACTTAGCATAAGCTTTCCATATAACCATTTCCTGGGCACTTACTAACTTACTATATGCCAGGCTCTATGCTTAACACATTACTCCATTATCTCATTTGTTTAACAAATATCCTCTCATAATTTCTGCAGCACTGAGCACAAGCAGCAGTCACTAGACTGATATTTGTACTACCTACTAGGGCTAGTACTAGACTGACAGCAACATGCAATCTCGTTTATTGTTAGGAAATTCAGGTCATGAATCTGATCAGCAATGCTGAGATGCAGACTACCATCTGTGGTCAACAGGGAACACTACCGAGTGACGATTTGGTTACATTCCCTTCCATAGGTAGAAGAACATAATCTTATCTACCCAGAAATCTAATTCCAATCACTGCGTGCCATTTGGAACAGCATAACCATAACCTGCATAAAATGACTTTTTAAAGAACCCTTACCTCTCCTGAAATTCTCTAAAGCTGTAGACTAACCCTTCCCCCAAAGTAACACGTTCAACAGGTCAACAAAAAGTAAGGTGCCTTTACTCTTAACTCAAAATAACGCTGCCTTACATCTGAAATTCTTTGAATTTGATTCGACAACTGGGCAATACCAGTTTAAAAAAAAAATTAAAAGGAATACCGACTAATGAGGTGGTGGTTAGGTAAAACCACCGCCCTCCAATGGCATAACTCATATGTCTAAGTTGCTCCAAGAAAGGGAGATGAGGGAGTGAGTGCAAGGGACAGTCTACCCCCAAGAAAAACAAAAATAAATGACTTGAATGAAAATAGGTTGGGGGGGGAAGGATGGCTTGAACCAGAACCTAGTGTCCAAGTGTCTGTCTGTCTGTCTGCTTTCTCTCTGACACTGAGACTCTCAGCGACTCTGAAACTGTGAACTGAATTGAACAGATCATCTAATAGCTTTGAGACCAGAACCAAAAACTATTAAAGCGGCAGAAAAGCAGTTATATGTCGCCCTGAATACAGGTGGCTTAGGTAAGGGTGCCGCCCTGCCACCTAGGGAGAGAAGGTCGGGAGGAGAACTGTCAAGAAGGCTGCGAAAATCCCTTGTAAAAACCCACACGCGGCAACCCCGCCCTGCACCACGCCCTCAAGTGCAAGCTCCCCGGCCTCATCTCAACGTGACAGGTAAATAAATAAAATAAGGGGCGGCCCCAGAGTCCCCGGGCCTGGATGGCTACCTCGGGGGACAGGCTCCTTCTCCAAGGTCGCCTCCTCTGACAAGCCCTCCCGGATCACCTAACCCCATCCCTGGGTGGCCCACGATCGCCAGTCCCGGCCTGGCCATACATTCCGTGTTTCCCTTCCAGAACGTACGCTCGGGACAGCAGCAAGGCCGGCCTGTCCTGCGCACCCGCGACCCCAGGCCACGCACGGCCAGACCCTGTTTCTCAGACGAGGCCCTGAACGCCGCGGACGCTGTGCACGCCTGCCTGCACCATGACACCCAGGAGAACGCGGAACGAAGCGGCCAGGAGGGCCCGCAGCCCGGGGCCCCAGCGGGGCCTGAGGGCGACCAGGAAGGAGCGGACGTCGCACAGGCTGAAGCGACACCGCCGCCCCCGGCCCGCTCGGAAGTCCCCGACGGCCCAGCGGCGG